AATATTTTTACTTAATAATTTTTTTTATATTCTTTTTTAATTTCTTACAATTTAACAATATTTTTGTTAATTCATTATTTACAGACCATATGCTGAACAGATAATGCAGTGTGTTGGCTTAATGCTTAGCTCAGGACTCCCTTGTTTTAGAGGTGAAACATTAAAAAGATTATGTGATAGATTCCAATTGGATCGAAATGAGCGTCGTGCTGCAGATTTCATGATTGAAAAGATCAATCACTCATTTGGAAATAAAAGAACAGTTTGGTATGATAGTTTCCAGAAAGCCACGAATGGTAAGTTATTAATAATCTATGAAAAAAAGTGAATAAATATTGAAATTTTGCCTAACCTTTTTTTAATACCTCCCCTTATAGGAATTATTATTATAGAATGTATTTTTCAGGGAATTTTCCGTACATTCTGATTTTTTTGCACTGAATATTAATATTAATATGAGACAAATTCTGACGGAAAATTCGCTAAATTCACTGTGATTATCATCAGTTAAATTCCTTCCAGAATCTTGAAAGATGGAAAAGAGTTCCAGAAGCATTTCGAATATTAATTGAACTGAACACAAAGGGAAATACTGCCAACCAAAATCGAAAACATTATATGCCATCGATGCTTTTCATATCGGGTCAATTTCAACACACTTTTTCAAATGACAGTATCGAGCAATCACCCGATTAAAGCACATGGTTTTGAAAAAGTTATGAATATTGGAACAAGCCGTGACCTTTACGAATTCTACTTTGTTGTTCCATCTGTGATTTCGCCAAACAAAAGTATGTTAATCTAGATGATATAAATAGGAAGAAACTAGGGCGTCTTTCCCAGATAACTCGGTACGTTTTGGAAATGCCGTCGTACTTGCAATGCATAATGTAAAAAGCATTTGCTAAAGGGACAAAAAATTTGTAATAATAAAATTGAAACAAATAAAATTTTCGCACAAACTGAGTTTTTTGATATTTTTAACTATGTGCATGAGTGACTTGTGTACTGGACATTACGGAATGTCAGCGATTAACTTCAATAAATATCTTGACCAAGTCTATGAAAAGTAAAGTGGTTGTACGATTGAGAATTACAATTATAAATTTCAAGTTGAAAAGTTCTAATTATATAAAGGATCAAAACGTGTGTTTGAAGAGGCATTGAGAGTACTGAAATTATGACCGAGAATTTATTGAAATATTGAGTGAATTGACGAATCAAAGTCATCAAAGTTGTAAATATTTATTTAATTGTCCTTCCGAAGCATTAGACGAATTGGTTAATGTGTATGTCTAACTGGTGGTGCTTATGGTATTCGATTAACTGGTAAGATAATTATAAGAATAATAATTTGATAATTTATTTTTTTCGTGATAAATAAGATCAGATAGAATATTTTATTCAGGAAATTATTACAAGAAAATTTCCAATATCACAGAAAAGAAATAGAAGCCTCAATATTTGCTACCAGGCCTGGAGGTGGATAATTTGATCCGAGTATAATTTCAAATTATACGTTATACATTATTTTTATTTTTATAAATATATAAATTTATTATTATTTATTATAATTATTA